TTGACCTCAATAACTCCTGACCTAGGGTAACCTAAGACTTGAAATTTTGTGTAAAGGTGTTAAATTGATGCCCGGGTAGCTATTGAAAATTTGGTGTGACTGCGCGTCGCCGTTTTCTTGCTATTCAGGAAAATACACAGGGGGCTTTATTGCCCACCGCCCAACGGGGCGAGGGTTAACCGTGACCTGCTGAGGCTGGAAGTCGTTTCACAACAAAGTTTTGCTTTCTGCCGCACTATGTTTCCAAAACTTTGTCACAAAACTGACCAAGAAATATGTTGCATGAATGCAATTGCAGCATTAAAAAAGGAAACTAGGCGTAAAAGTTTAAGTAACATCAATGTATGCTGATTTTTGCGTTATTTTTAGAACAAAATCGATGTAAGCCACTAAAAAAGCAAAACATAGCATTGTTTATATAGGAATATGCCATAACTCGCACCCATATCGGCGTTTTCGCAGGCGCTAACATTTGGGCGGGGATGGATCAGACCCCACAGTTGATCGGCTTTTGATTAAACTAGAGCTTCTTGAAAAGAAGGAGCATGTTGCCCGTGACGAGAGGAAGCCGATGATACCCAATTTATAGATCATAGGCCAATCGTTGATCATAGGTCATACGTTGACCTTTCATGTCAGTTTAATGACCCAATAGTCGGAAGGGTCTAGACCTGCCTAGAAGTTTTTGTCGTGAGCGAGAGAGAGAGAGAGAGAGAGAGAGAGAGAGAGAGAGAGAGAGAGAGAGAGAGAGAGAGAGAGAGAGAGAGAGAGACAGACAGACAGACAGACAGACAGAGACAGAGACAGAGACAGAGACAGAGACAGAGACAGAGACAGAGACAGAGACAGAGACAGAGACAGAGACAGAGACAGAGACAGAGACAGAGAGAGAAATACAGAGAGAGAGAGAGAGAGAGAGAGAGAGAGGAGAGAGAGACAGAGAGAGAGAAAAAAATGGCCTTTTTAGAAAACGGTCGGTATAGGTGTTAAGCGACAGCACGGATTTAAAATGAACGTTAATCCTTCTCACAGCTAGCCTGTCCAACGTTTTTATATTTCCATCGCTAGTGACCTCGCCTTTAGGCCATGTGACTGGAAACCGACAGCTAAACAGCAGATATTCTAGGGGCGCGGAAACCTTGAAGGTTGGCTGTGCCGCAATGCCATTCCTAGTGGTTTTGATACTTTTGAACCTGGCTAGATTGGCTCCATGCGCTCCGCAGATCGGCAAATTTGTAGTTAAACAGCCCTGAAGGCACCGGCCAAGTTCCTCCGCTGGTCTCGGCCAAATAAGACACAAGGGACCAAACAATTTAACATGTTGGAACGTTTCTAATCTCAAGTCTAGAAACGAACGGTTAATGAGACCTGACACGCCGAATTCTGGCCTATAATGGGCTCTAGAAACTGGTCACAGACCAGACGTCATTTTGGTCAGGGTCATGAAATTTTCAGGGTAGGTGCAAACTTTCAATTGCAGATGGCCTGAACTTATCCTGACTCCTGACCACATGGGCATTTATTTACTTATGGTGAGAAAAATAACTTACGGCATTGAAAGCTCCGCTGCTATCCGCCACTATTTACGCGAGTTATTCAGGAAAAACCAAGGAGAGAGGTTCATTTTATCACCCCTAAAGTAAACGGTAACATCGATAAATAACATCTGTATATTTCTCAATTTAATATGGTGAGATCATTCGTAATGTTAATAAATGCTTATTAGGTAAATAATATTGTAAGTTCACCATGGCACGACATTTCTATTCTATTTTATCCCGTTCGTTCTAGCCCCTCTCGCCTGCCGCCCCCCCCCCCCCGCCCCCACCACCACTACTACCACCAAACCGGCTGAGTTGGCTGAGGCGAGACTGGCTAAGGCGAGCGCCTCCCCTCCCTTCATGCCAAACAGCGCCTGGCTGTCGTGACCTCTGGCCTCACCGCCCGAAGGCTCGCCCGCTGTCCAAGGACGCCCTGCGCAGGCCGCAGTGATAGCCTCTGCCGAATCCCGCCTCTATCCACCGTTCACCACGCGCTGGATTCATTCATGCCTCTGTGTTTTAGCGTCCTTCCCGTTGGGTGGCACCACTGTAGTCATAGGCGACTGCAGGGAAGCCGCGGTCAGAATGCCCCAAACGGCGAATTTTGATGTTTTCTTTTAATTTCTCCGAAACTAGCCGGCATACGATCAAACCTTTTTCCATGATCATGGGAGGGAGCTATACGAATAAATCGGTCACATCTTCAGGCCTTCAAAGCTGAAGACGAAAAAGATATAGCCGGAAAGGCAGAACCTACGCTTAAAACCCGCGGGACCTGTACATATGCCTACGATAAACGTCATGTTCCTATGACTTACTTGAGCAATTGTTTTGCAAATGTGCCAATGCTTTTATACATTTCCAGCATTGACACCAGCTCGGATACTGATGTTTAAGCTATTTTCTATACCTATTTTGGCGTCTATTGTCGCCGACCGAGATTGTGATTGGTGCCTAAACCCTCGGGCTTCTCCTAATGCATGCATTGGAGCATAAAAAATGCTCTGATACCAATTTGAATTATTCTTGGAAACATGCATGTCCTTATTGGTCAATATAAGCGCGGTCAGTAGTGAATATTAAATGTGGAAGAATAATGTTTCTTTACGAATTTCCCTGCAGACATGCTCATTGCTCAGAGTAGTTATCCGTACCTTTTTATTGTCTCAATCAAACGAAGACACTAAAGTAAAATGAAATACTTAAGTACAGTGGATCTAGTAAGGATCTCCAGACGAAACTAGATGGCGTTGAGCCTTAGCCGAGTCCATGTGATATTCAAGGAGAGGTCACTGCCGAGCTGGGCCCGATGGGGAGGTGGGCGGGGGGGGGGGACGGGTGGCGAGGTCACGGTGCGGGTGACCTGTCAAACAGCCCCCGCGCGGTGGGTCGCTGCCGCAGGCAAATGGCGCACTACAGCGTTGTTCCATATCGCGGTGGTGGGCCGGGCGGCCGGTTAGCTTGGCAGTTGGCTGCTTGGAAGGAAAGGATAATGAGGCATGGGTTTGCTGTGGCCGGCTCATCTACTGTCAACTATGGTGAGCCCAAAGTAATGCAAAAATGACGTTGGTAATGCAGCTGGCAATGGAATGCTAGCGAATGCTCCGGGCGCCCAGTAGGCAGTAGCTATAAGGATTAAGATTATTTGTCTCCTGAAATTTTCATTGAATGTAATTCAAAAGCAATAGAAAGATCGCATCGTTCGCCAGTTGTTTGACCGGCTGGTGTTTCATGCGTAGAGCGCCCTTTGGCAAATAATTATCACGCAGGCGATTTTTTTTTTGCTGGTAAGATAGGCTTGTCAAATCAAGTTTAGGGCCTTGAAATCAAGTCGCTAAGAGAAGATGAGGAAAAGTGGACGAATGCCACATTTTTGTGCATGAAGTCTAGAGTTAAAGCTAAAAGTTATTATACGTGTAAGCTAAAAACAATACGATCAAATTATAAAAATATTTGACCCGAAATTATCCTCTGTTTTGTCTGACCATGATTGCGTGTAAGACACCCGTCCAAGCGGGTTCAACCCGCCCAACCTGGTTCGGCTCCCCCTTTTTTAATATAAATTTTGCCCGAACCTTTTGAAAGAAAGGAATCACAAGGACAAAGTCCCCGCTAAGCTGAGCTTGTTGCGTTTACCCTGCACTCTACCCTCCGATCAAGCAATTCCTGGTCTATGGCAGAATTAAGAGTCCAAATTTTAACGTGCGCACATAGCCGCGCACGGCCGGTCCCCTTCACTGACTTCTCCTGGCAGCGGCCTGCCACCAACCACAACCATACCCGTCAGGAGCCGCTCAAAAACGTCAAGCACACGTCGCGTTTCGAACCCGGACTTTTGCAACCGGGACGTGCGCTCTCACCACATGGCACATGGAGTCCAACACTCTACCAACCGAGCCACCGGGACGGACATTTACCTTGGGGTTTCGCCTCGTGACATTGACAGACGTCAGACACTTTGGCCGAACTTTAGCCGAAACACTGAGCAAGCTGCGCAGGGCGATAGGTGCTCGTAGCGTTGAGGTTGGGTAACCTGTGAGCTGAATGCGAATTCGTGAGTTCGGGCCCCACTCCCGGGTCTGGTTTTATCTAGACACGAACCAAAACCTTTTCTTCTACTGCAACACAGATAAGCACGATGACATCTTTCTCCAATATCTTTCCCCAATATCCTCTCCAAAAGTCAAAATTATCGCTTATACCTAAATGTTTAGCTAAGTTTCATTTTTTAAGAAAATATTTTTGGTCATTTGTCTGGAGCCATTTTAGCTTTTTTTTTCTTTTCTGCTTTTTTCGACCCGCTAAAACCCACCAAAACTGAACGTGCCAAATGAAAAATATCTAACTCAAATAACAGTTTAAAAAAGCCTCATCATGCATCATGAAAAGCATCATGCAACTATCGAGTATCGACTGAATAGTTGCATGCTATGAATACGTCCTAGATTTCAATTATCATTGTTCAACATTTTGGCTGGAACTGACGCTGCCTCTGGCTTGCCCGTTTGTTTGAAATGATTCCCTTCAGTCGCATTCTTGCCGGTTCCACATGAACAGGATACCACCATACCGAAGTGAACGCACCCGCAACCATGATCCCCGATCCCCTCAGCCTTGGCGCAGTGGCGGGCGGCCCTGGGCGGCCCACTCCCGGCGCTACGCACGTCCCATGCGCCGTGATACCGCGTCACTCCCCCTCCCTCCTTCCCCCACAATGACCGATGACCTCACTTCCCTCGGGATTTGGACTCGCCCTACCCCGACCGTAGCGCCACGTGGTGGCTCTGGAGATCTTAAATAGACCCACTGTACATGTAGCAAATGCCACGGTGACTATAAATACAGTCCCCGGCAAATGCTTACATAGCGGTCCAACTTTGACGAAGGAAGGGGAAGTTACCCGTTGCCATTTCTCGTGATAGCAAACTGGAAGTATGGGGATTTATATGAAACGTGAACAAGGAATGGCTTTGCCGAGAAATCACCTGCGGGTTTTGCATTTGGTCTGCCGCTGGAAGTGGACATCGAAGCAAAATTACATAGTACGTTTGATAAATTAGGCTATTACATTAGCTTACCTGTCTTATTTTAAGTCATTTCTTATCATGATTACCTGACGCGAGGACAAGCTTTTGTTGCATTAATATTTTGTAGAACACCATAAATATATGCCAGAGAACCTTCAATTTTACTTTTCTTGAAAGATGTAATGACGAAGTATAATGGTTCTCTGTCGGTGCAAAGAGAAGAGTTTTTTCTCTTCAGTTTTTGACTATATCGTTCAAATTCTTTTCCCCAGGACAGATGATTGTCCAGTGACTGATGTCGGAATAGCAAGTTTCAACAATGTTTATAAAACCAGATTCGATCCAAGTCCATCATATTGTGATGTGAATGTGTTTCGGACAGCCTTTTCTACTTTAGACAGTGCGCCTCGCCAACAATTTGATTCCGACGAATTCGAAACGAGCTTTACACCGACACCGTGTCCTGAAAGTGATACGTTTGTTACAAACTTTTACCCAGAATATCTCGGTATGGCATTTCGACGACAAAATTGCCGCAAGAAAGAATATCTTTACGACCAGAAGCCTTTCTTCAATGCCATCCCGTCTTCAAGAGGAGCATTCACATCACCTGGAATCATACAATCAATTAAGAACTGGGTGAGTACTAAGAAGAGTCACCGTTTTCCTTTTGCAAAGAGTGTAGTCATTGTATGCTCGTCCTGCGTGTCAATTAAAGTTTCTATTTGTCGTTGTATTTGAAGCTGACGTTCCCACATAAAATGTTTAAACTACCAATTCAACGGGCCTAAAGTTAGATATCATTCATGACATCGTGCCTAGGTATTTGAAAAGATAGTAGGCACCTGTTTGTGATAGCCTGATCCCGGTGCCCTCTGCGGTGGGCCGGCTCAAATGTCAGACGAGCTCGCTTGCATCCTAGCATTCCTGCCGCCGCCCTGTTTGACAGTGCTCTGGCGGTCGATCCCTCCTGCCGATGGACTGAAGGGATCGATCGCAGTAGGAACTGTTGCAGTAGGCACTGTTCGTCCCCACTGGACTAACCCCGGTGCCCCGTTCCAGTACTCTGGCGGCCGGTCGCCGCCGCCGATGCCCAGCATCGTCACAGAGCCGGACGACATCGACTGCCGGTGTCCGGCGCGCGGCTCGCGGCTGCTGCAGCTGCAGAGCTGGCTGCTCTGCTCGCCTCTGCCCAGGGCGGCGCTGGCCCTACTCGCCGCCAGGGGAGTGCTCTACCTGCTCGGCATCCGCGTCTGCTTCGTCAAAATGGTGTGAGAAGGAAAAGGAGGAGGCGTTCTAGAGTCACCCGGCCAGCATTTTTCTGTTGAATACGGAATAGATGCAGTTACTTGAGGGCAGGCCTCATTCCCCTAACTTTGTCTCCGATGTGAAATATTGTCCACTAAGTCGGAGATAATAAAGAACTAAGTGACGTATATATTACGGGTGTCTGGACCGAAATACAAACGCCGTCATTATGTTTTCCAACTGAATTTTATGCGAGTCGAATGATAGAGCAACAGTACCTAAGGTGTGCAGCGTGCACGATTCTTATTTTCATTTTACAGTGATTGATGCCTGTGAGTTATCTATCATTCACTTATCAAAGCATATTTATGGATTGCTAAGCATCACAGTATGTAGCCAAGGACGAGGTAGTTATGTAGCTGTCGACGGATTAATTTGCAAGTGCAAATGATAACTCGAATGTTTCATTGTCAGTGTAGGTATGCATGACTGTCCTGTGGCATTGCGTGAAATGCCTCTTGATATGTTTGGCTTGCGTTCCTTTATCGCGTGAGCGTTCCATCAAAATAAGCATCTCGTACAGTTATCAGATGTATTGGCACAGAGGTTGGCACATTACTGTCGATATCCTATGCAGTTTGCCACAGCCCAAATTCAGGATAATTTCCACTACGATTTCTGACATGACGACAATATTGAATGCCCATTGCCTATCTACATGTGCTTCTATGTCGTACGATGCTTAGCACTAGCATAAATAGGCCACTACAGATTCAAACTTGGCATCTAGGAAACAAGGCGCTAGCTATGACAGATTCTAACTACGAGGCTATTCGACAAGACAGGACAAGCAGCGTGTTTGCCTCCAAATCAAGCTGGAACTTCCATTTTCGCGTACCTAATAGCGAGCGCGGAAGCTGCGCACAGCACGCCTTCCAAGAGCGATACAAGGTGTATATTTCTGGGCTTATGCGTATTTGCCTTTTCCGCTGTACTTGGGAAGTGTGCTGTAGGTGGACGATCCGTTGCCACCATTACCTCCGTTACCGTTTCCGTTTCCATTGCCGTTTCCAGCGCCATTGCCGCCATTTTTGCCTCCCTTTGTATAGATGGGATACGTTGGGTTAGTATGGGGTACAGTGTACCCATTGCCGTTACCATTACCTCCGTTGCCGTTGCCGTTTCCTCCGCCGTTGCCATTGCCGTTTCCGCCATAAGTTCTTCCTGTGGAGTCGCTATAAGCGTACGAACTGACATCACCATATCCACCGCCGTTGCTACTGCCGTTGCCGTTGCCGTTCCCATTAGATCCGTTTCCGTTGCCATTTCCTCCACCATTGCCGCCATTTTTGCCACCCGTTGCATAAGTAGGTGTTCCGTACGAGTTGGAACTGCCATATCCATTGCCGTTACCATTTGCTCCTCCGTTGCCGCCGTTTCCTCCATTACCGTTGCCGTTTCCTCCACCATTGCCGTTTCCGTTTCCACCATAAGCTGTTTTCGTTGAGGCGTCAACATACGAGTACTTATTAGTAGCAGCGTATCCGCCTCCGTTTCCCCCTCCATTTCCGTTTCCAGTGCCTCCGTTGCCGTTGCCGTTGCCGCCATTATGGCTATCCTTGACATAAGTAGGGTACGTTGGGTACGAGTGAGAAGTGCCGTATCCGCTTCCTCCATTTCCTCCGTTGCCGTTTCCGTTTCCTCCGCCGTTTCCGTTACCTTTGCCGTTTCCACCATAGGTTGTTCCTGTCGAGGAATCACCATACATATGCTTATCGGTAGTGCCGTAGCCGCCGCCGTTTCCACCACCGTTTTCGTTGCCTTTACCTCCATTGCCACCATTGCCGTTTCCAGCGCCGCCATTTCCACCATTGTTGCCTTTATTTGCGTAAAACGAATACGTTTGGTAGGAATGGGATCCGCCGTATCCGTTTCCATTACCATTACCACCGTTTTTACCATAACTTCCTCCATTGCCGTTTCCGTTTCCTCCGCCGTTTCCGTTGCCATTGCCAGTCCCGCCATAGTTTGTTCCTGTAGAGGAGTCCCCATACGAGTACTTACTGGTGGCACCATAGCTACCACCGTTTCCTCCGCCATTTCCGTTGCCGTTGCCGTTTCCTCCGCCGTTGCCGTTGCCATTACCATTTCCGTTATAGCTTGTTCCTGTCGAGGAGTCGCCATACGGGTCCTTAGTGGCAACACCATAGCCGCCACCATTTCCTTTGCCGTTTCCATTACCGTTTCCTCCGTTTCCGCTGCCATTTCCTCCACCGTTGTTGCCGCCGTTACTTCCGTTGCTGTTGCTGCCATAAGCTCCAGTTTGAGTGGAGCTGTCGTATGCTGTGTACGTGGGAGGAACGCCGTATCCACCACCATTACCGTTACCTCCTCCGTTCCCGTTCCCGTTTCCGCCATTTCCGTTCCCACCGTTTCCGGTTTTAGTGGAAGCGGCGTACGTCGAGTACGCATGAGGGATGTCATACCCGTTGCCGTTGCTCTTGCCACCACCGTTGCCGTTACCGCCGTTGCCGTTGCCGTTACCGCCGCTGCCGTAACCTCCGTTACCGTTACCGCCGTTGCTGTTTCCGCCGTTTTTACCGTTGCCGTATCCTCCACCGATGTTTCCGCCGTTGCCGTAGCCGTTTCCACCGCCCTTGTTTCCTCCGTTGCCGTAACCAGCACCATTGTTTCCGCCGTTGCCATTTTCACCGCCATTGTTTCCGCCGTTGCCGTAAGCACCACCATTGTTACCGCCAGGGGTCCGTCCGCCTGGGTAGATGTTGTAGTACGCAGAGCTTACAGATCCTGGGCCCAATCTTACCAATGCCGTAAATAGGATTTGGTAGCAATGCGCAAAATGCGATTACCGATTAAGAGCACTATGTTTGTCTTTCATAGTTTCTGATTGGATCTATCCGTTTTTCTCAATGTCCAGAAGGTGTGTGATGATGTAAATTAATCGCACGACGCTCAGTATGTCTTCCAAGTGTTACCAAATGCCGTGAATAAGGCATTCACGGCATTGGTAAGATCGGGCCCTGGCGTGTTGCCGTTTCCAGGCGACTTGTAGATGACGGCGTAACCGGTGGTCCCGCCGTTTCCGCCACCGTTTCCATTCCCATTTCCACCGTTTCGTTTCCCACCGGCAGCGGCTACAGAGGAGCGGAAGATTGCTCGGTCTCCAAATCTAGCAGCGCCTTTGTCGGCGAGGCAGACGCTCGCCGACAGAACGAGCAGCGAAATCTGCAACAAAATTGCATGGCACATGTCAGTGGTTGTTGACTTGTGAAAACCCGCGCCCCAGGGGGGGGGGCTGTTCATAGCCCCCTCCCGTTTTTCTGCAATAGGTAACTTGCAAACCGCCTGACGTATCGACGCCAAACTTTCAGTACCTTCAGCTGCATCAATTTGACACCTTGTGTCAAAGCATGAAGTTCGTGGCTACCATAAGTCGGCCGGAAATGACGTCATGTAGGTACGGCCTATTTCGACGCAAAACATTGAACCACGGTAATCGCTCCCAAGAGCTCAGTTTTTAAGCTAGATCCAATCTCTTTGCATGAGAGGACCAGAATAAACTGCGCTTTCAAACTGCTCTCAGGGACTTTCAAAATGTTGAATGTTTGGAAAATCATATATATTAAAATTCATAATTTATATTTTTATCTATTTTCAATTTCGTTTGACTTTTCGAAAAAAAAACGGAATAGGTATATGTGATAGAACACATGCTTATGACTTACTCTAGCAAGTTTTAGCCAGATGCCTTCAAAAATGGCCAAGTTTCATTATATATTTGCATTATAGCAAAAATTCACAACTAGGTATAAACTTTTCAAATCAATTTTTCAGTATGTATTTGACATCGTACACCAAAATAAATAGCACCATCGTGTTCCTGAGCTCAAACTGCATCCGATAGACACCTTTTTTGTTTAAAGATTCTGACTATAAAATTTGACCTTTTTTACCTGAAAGTGGCTTGACCTAAGCTAAATGCAACTCAAAATGACCTCGAATGACATAAACGACATTGATTCGAAATTTATGGCTTAAATGGACCATAAAACATGTGTCACGCGACCGATGCAGGATATAAGATTTCCGTGACCTGTGATGACCTGACCCTGACCTGAAAATCAAAATACAAGTTTGGTACCCTCAGGGTATCTAAAGCATCTGTTCACAAGTGTGTAAACCAAAAATTAGCCTGATCTGACTTGTTAGCCGGCGGCCAGAGCCCAAAACGTGAACAAGCCAAACATTGATAATTTTTATTTTGACCTGACCTGTGACGTCATCGGTGACGTCCAGGTCAATGAAATTAGGTTTTGCTCGACAGTTTCTTCGGGGCTATCAGACGCCGTTTGAATTTTGACGATCGGCCCAGTAGTTTCGGAGTTAGGAGGGGGGCTATGAAGAGCCCCCCCCCCCCGTATGGCGTGTTAAACGCAGACCCCAGTGGGGCGTGGGATAATTCAGAGCTACTATAGGTATTATAGTGTCCAATACATTGTTTCTGCCCAAAAATGCAAAGAGGCCCAATGAACAGCCTGAGTCTTATTACATATATATTATTCCAATCTGCACGTCATGCAGAGAATGAGTAGGTACCGCAATTGGGAAATTAGCTGCCAGTCAGTGTCACTGACGACCCTTGAGTACGTCATTGCTCAAAGTGAAGTAAATAAAGAGTAATAAATTCCATTATTGTTGCCAAAGATATAATAAGGCCACCCAAGGCAATAACATGAAAACGTTGAATTGGAAGTCCCTCAACTCTTGCACTGCGCATTTGATAGGAACGCAAGACACGGAAAATCATGCCTGTCACCGATGACTCCTGCTGAGTGCTGTTCATAGACCTATTCTAACTGCTCGCAAGGTGACCCATCCAACCAAGTTCAGAAACACATCTATTGCAACCAAATACAATATACGCAACTACGATCAAGTGAAAAATATACTCTCAATGGATTGAGAAACGTGGGAAGCACATGAGCTCGGGAGAATCTGCTTACCGTGAACGGAGCCATGGTGCTGACACTCTGAAGTCGATGGTGACCGGCGACTGTGTGCCTCTACCACTGCCGGACGCCGTTTTATAGCGGCCACACCGAAACACGGGGGTGGGGACGTCCACCTCACCGGAGATGTAACATCGACTACCGGTATCCCGTGGTATGTTTGTGGCCGGCATCTACATAGGCACTGACCTTTAAAGGTCTCTGTTCTGT